CTCTCTCTCTCTCTCTCTCTCTCTCTCTCTCTCTCTCTCTCTCTCTCGTGCGCGCGTGATCGAGATCTCGTGAATCCTCACAACTTGGCGCGCGAAAGTGCGCCGCGAGTTTGCTGTCGACGTCGCGCAATTCAAGGATCGCCGATTACCGAGCCGCTCCGATATCGAGCGGTTTTCACTGGAAGCAAATAAACACGCGCGCAAAATGCGAATAATTACCGCTGCACTCCTGCTCCAAGAACCGTCGAGCGTGACCAGCGTCGTCGTCCTACTTTCGTGAACAATTGTCGCGAACGCGCGCCGTCTATCTCGTTCCGAACTTTATTACCGTACGTGATGTCCCGCAATCGGCAGGGAGTCCATGCTGGAAAACACTCGGTTTAATTGGGGGGGAAAAAAAACAGATGCTCGAGAGTCGGAGAATAAACGTCCGTGAAGGGGATGCAAAAAGTCACAAGACAGAGAATTTTACAAGACAATGATTCGTAAATGATTCTAAAAGAATAATGTAAGAGATTCAAAAAATAACGCAATAAAATAATAATTTCCCGGAATTTAAAAAGAGAGAAATCGTAATATGTAGATCCGACGATAAATCTAATAATAATAGAGGCAACCAAGGAGAACTTGACGATCCTTTGAAGAGAGAGAGAGAGAGAGAGTGACGTATATCAAATAAGTAAAGTCAATTGAAAAAAAATTTATGCAGGATCTTTGAAACGTATGTAAATTTACAGTTCGATTATCTCATAATGATTCTTATCGTTACGCCGCGCCGGCCGCGTCGGCGAGGGACGACCGTTTACAATTTGTTGTTTGTTCATAAAACGACAATGATAATCGCCCCGCGTAGTCGACTAAATTCTTTCCTGTCATTGCGGCAAACGTCCTATCTCGCGCGAGCACGCGTCAGCTGTGTGTATCTGCGTTGCACATTGCTGTCGTCATTCGTCATCCGCTGCGGCTGCATTTTCTCCAATATGAATATTCATATTTCTTCCATCTGAGCTATATACTTTTCTTAAAGGTACTATGTTGTAGATGACATTCTAACATATAAAGCTATACTAGGACATGAAAGCATCACGGTTTAAAAACATTTAGATTTGTCATTCAAAGTTAGGTTTTATCTTCCAACCTTCCAACCGTTTTAATATCCAACCGTTCCTTGGCTCGATCATCTTTTTTTACAATTAGTCTAGCAACATTTTGATTTTTCTTGTTTTTTCTTGATAATTAGGCCCCCCGCACAATATAAGGAACAAGGAACAGATATTAGCGATTATTACTAAGGGTAAGGAATCAGACATTAAGGTACGTGGTGTAGGATCTTGATATACGGCTTCCAATAGGTTAAAAATCTATTGCCCGTGTTATTCCCTTCTTCTGTTGCCTGTGTTTTTCATTGTGCATCCAGTTTTATTCCTGATTCCTTAGTCCTAATCGCTAATATCTGTTCCTTGTTCTTTATATTTTTCCTTGTGCGGGGGCCTTTACTATCTTCTTTAATTCCTAATAATTTTTTCGTCATAAGAAAATCTGTCTCAAAGTCGATGAACGAATCATTAAATTCTGAACTTAATATAGATTACTAGTCAAATGTCCCCCGATTAATCGGGCATTAGATTGATCCGTAGCAATTTTTCTCTCGTTACTTAAGGATCGAAGTCAAAGCTTAAACCGTTCGAATCGTCGGATTATCGGAGAATTCCGAGGGCCAGGCAGAAAAGATACTTTGCGCGATAGTACATATCTTACAATTCCTTTCATAAGATATACATAGATATAACGTAATACACTTTTATAATAACAGATCTAATTATATTTTCTCTAATTATAACAACGAATTTGTTTATAATAAATGACAAATATTTTTTCTCGTTTACGTCATGCGCGCATTACGCTAACGCCGAAGTAACGATGAGGCTCGAGGCAGTGCAGCGGGCGTGTAATGGATTTCGCATTGAAACGCGAGATTGAAGCGTTAGAGAGAGAGAGAGAGAGGCACTTGCGTGGTGCTCGCGAACGACGAAGAAATTAAGCATAAGTAGGCCAAGTATGCGGCATGGCAGTTGTAAGAAGCGAAAGAACAAGTCTTCGCTAATCGCGCCGTTGCCAATTACATTATCGTCAACTATTACGTCCAGTCTATTTCTGGACCGCGAGTAGCGTTCGTCGCTCACAAGATCCCGAAGACGTCGAAGACGATCGCGGTCGTACGTACACCGACAAGTTCCTTCGGGGCCCTGAAACCGGTTTCTCTCTCACGTACATACATCATTGTGTAACGCGCACGACGCAATTTTACTATCGCGCGCCTCTCTTCTCTTTCACGGTGGCCTTGGCCTTCGCGCGCGTTCATCTCTCCTACACATATTACACATCACCCTTTCATGCGGAAGTTGAATCCTCGATCGTAGATTCCGAGAACCTTTTAAATCCCTTTTGAGACTCTCTCTCTCTTTCCCTTTTCGAAATCGCGAAAGGGAAAGTTGGAAACGTCAGACTCTCCGACCTTCTCATGATGAACAAGTTCATCACGCAACGTTTGATGATTTAAAAGAGAGTCAAGATAAAAAAGATAAAAAAATTAAATTTGAGAGAGAGACACACACACACACACACACAGAGTATGACGGTGACTCTCGCGGGTCCGTTTCACCCGTTATCGTCTTCCCGCTAATTTATCGCGTTAATACTTGCCGGCAGTATAATCCGGTATAATCGGCGCGAACGAGCGGGAATACGCGCAAACGCTTCCGGTTATGTAATCACTAGACATACACGTTACGCTAGCTCTCCTCGAGTTGGTAATAAGTTACATTCCGTGATGTCGTCAGCTGGTGGCGAAATGTAGGTTTACGGCGCGTCCGCGGAACTCGAAAGAAAAAAAAATCGCTTTTCCGCGAAGAGAGAAGAGATTGGAAGAGACCCTCGCGCGCGGGCCCCGCGGCATGTGGCATGCGGCATGCGGCACTCCGCGCGCTAGGATCAGCGAGAAATTTTTCACGCGTGAAATTTTCTCAGGGAAACCGCGGAGCTTGCAGCGTTATTAAATACACTGCAAACTCAATTTGCCGCGTCATTTATTGCAAGAACGAAAATAAATGAACAATGAGTATTACCTGCTACTTTCAAATATTACTTTTGCTACCTGCTACTGTCAAAGACCGAATGGAAAAGTGCAATGGCGCGGCACGTCAAAAATCTATTCCTAAATGTTATTAATTTGTATTATTTATATCTTTCATTGTATTATATATAATTTATATATAGATAATAATTTATTTATATTCATATTATTTCATTACTAATTTTTATAATGATTAATATCCCGCCATTCAGTGCTTCGTATGTATCGAGGCCTTTTACATTTAACATGATAATCGGAGATTATTTATATTTACATATATATATATATATATATAGAGAGAGAGAGAGAGAGATCTCTTGCTCTTCCGGTTTAGGCGATTCGCGGCGGTCGCGGTCTTTTACATTCTCTTGATTTCTACATCGGACGTGGCTAGTTTCATTTATTCGTTGCATCTGACAGAGTTATCGCATCCTTATTGTTATTCTTATCGGCAGAAGCGGCGACTTTCACTGCATAATGTCCGCATTGTTGCTGTTGTTGGTCGCGTCGCTCCTGACCCCCCCGAGCGTCCACGTGCTCGCACGCGATGTCGATTTCTGCTTCGTGGACGAGGATGACCCGTACCTGTACATGGGCACGAAGACCGCGTACCATTTCGTTCACGGCGGCAAGACCCGGTTCCAGACAGTGCCGAGTAAGTTCGGTACACTAACAATTAACAAGTACCCAAGTACTTCGGAATTCGGTTCGTCGACTACTAACCGTAATGGTTTTATTTTTTTAGTGTATTATATACTAATACACTAAGGACGCGATCATCGATAAAGAATTTGTTACTATATTTTGGCATGTATAGTCACGATGAAAAAAAATCAGAGTGTAACTAATATAAATATAAATATTTCCGTTTGACAGATTGCCGACCGATGCAAATCTGGATGCTCGCGGCACACGGCACCCGTTGCCCGACCATGCACGAGATCGACAAGATCGTCTCTTTAACTAATCTCAAAGAGCAGATACTCCAGAATCATGAAGAGCGCAGAGGTACGTAAATCAACCTTTTCCTCTATATTCCTCTTTATATGTTCTTTATTCTTTATTCTTTACTTTTCATAAACTACTCTTCTTGCGTACGACTTACGTAAAGTTAGAACTTTCTCTTTTTCTTCTTGTATTACCGGCTACAAATTAATTCTTTTTAATCTCGTACTTACATAATATATTATATTAATATTTTATATATATTGATATCTATATGTGTATAATTTATATAAATTCGAAAATTTTATATATTAATAAATTTTTCAACTTTATATGGACTTTCTCTGATTGTGAGCATAAAACTTATGCTTAGGAATTATGCTGCAACGTGTCTCTTGTATGTATACCTTAAATCTTAAATTATGAATTAATGTTATAAGACGTTCCCAAAATTTTCTCTACGTTTCCGTAAATCATTGCAGCTTAGAAATTCGCAAGCATTTCGCAAAATCCAAAGTGCATCTCACAATCAGTACCTATATAAAAATGTCGTTTTAATGTGATATATCTAATCCTCGATTGTCACAAAAGACATTCACCTCATAAGACTTATGTTAGTTATACGATTAAATTAAAACTTTCAGAATTCTGTAATCGCGTCGCACGTGTAATGCGATCCGATGTTTGTTTTTTCGTAGAAACTCGCGAAAATTATGCGACGATAAATACGTATTCTTTCTCGCGCAGAGGGTCACATGTGCAATCGAGATTTGGAAAACTTGCGAAGATGGAAGCCTGACGAATATTTGTCCTCACAACGGGCGGAGGTCCTGACGCCACAAGGGGTCGAGGACATGAAACTGCTGGCGAGAAGGTTGCAGAGCAATTTCCCGGAGCTGTTGCTGCCCAATATCCACAACATTACATCCACCAATTACAAGGTATCTCTTCTTATAATTATTTATAATGTCGATCACTATGTGTAAACGTGTCGATATCGCGTCAGATTTCAGGATAAAACTTTCACTTATAATTTCATACGCCGCGCCGTATATTTTGATATATGTGTGCATTTTTCATTACTTATTTTGCGTGTGCGTGTTTCTGATTCTTCAAATGTGTCTCGCATTACGCGTGGCGTATTTAATAAATTATAAATAGAATTTTGTCTTACAATTACATTCCAACGCACATTACAGAGATCGTCTAAAGTAGGGCGTTAATTAACTAGATTCGATTAAGCAAATGTCGATAAATATCGAATAAATCACGAAGCGGTCCGTAGCGATATAGAATATAAAACGTACGCGATTGATTTTTCAGTTCCGTGCTACCGAAGCTCGCGATAGTATGACATCCTTTATGGAAGGACTGTTCGGAAGCAGGTCCGCCGTACTTCCGGAAGAAAGTTCCCTCAACGACACTTTACTTACCGTAAGTACGTTTTAATTATTGCGCTGTAAGAGATTCAAGTAGTATATTATGATTTAAGAAGGCCAACCTCATCTCAGTAAATCTCAATAAAAATATTGCGATAAATGCATGTGTGTAAGTATATTCCAATATACCTACCAGAAATCAAATTGTTTGACATTGTTTTTAAGTGTATTAAGTGTATACCTCCTATATTAAGCGTAAAAATAATGTAAGATAAAAAGACAAGTTATTGAAATATCCTGTGTATTAAATAATCAACTTTTTAATACAAATAGGCTTCTTTGAATGTGTATAAGGTCTCGTAGTTTCTTTTTGAGAGAAAGAGAGAGAAAAGGCAAGAAAAAAAAATTAACTGGCTCTCTCTCTGACTTAGATAAAAAAATATAATAAACATAAAAACCAAAGTTTTTGTTCGATAAAATATAAACGTAAATTCGTAAAAAGCTTTCGAATTTCAGATACTTCTGGAAACTGAATAATTTTAAATATCAAAAGATTTAACTATTGATTTCATTTCTTAATATTTTATTTAGGATCGAAGTCGATCCAAGTCGGCTTGAATTTACCTCACAATCAGTCTGTCTGAGTTGATTAATCTTGCAGGCGTACAAAACATGCGGCGTGTGGAAAAACGAAGAGAATAACGAAGGATCGTTTGAGAATATGGAACACAGCAGATTCGACGCTGGGCCAGAATTCCAGAATCTTTTGAAGAACGTTAGCAGACGACTCGGTTTTCTGTACAATATTTCTGCTGGTACGTGCACAATTATATTTATCCTTAATCTAAGTCCGATATAAATATCTTGAATAAAAAAATTAAATTCTTGAAAACAGAGCAAATCAAATTTGACTAAAGAAATATATTTTAATTCTTCAGTTAATAATAATTCTACACGTAATGTATATATATAATTCTTGTAAATTCCTTCGTGAATATGAAAAATTTGAATATTTATTGAGAATAGTAGAGACATGTAGAGACAATCGGCAATAATGTTGGAATATTTTTAGATATGGTCGACGCTATGTACGACGCGTGTCGATATCAGAAGGCCTGGTCTGTCACCGAACTTTCACCTTGGTGCGCCGTCTTCAGCAAGGAGGAACTCCGCGTTTTGGAATACAGGGAGGACCTCGATTACTATTACAAAGCGGGTTACGGACGAGATATCAACACTCGTTTAGGATGTCCTCTGTTGCACGACATGATGCGACACTTTTGGTATATTATAAGTAACGCAGCGAGTTCCGTTACAAACGTCGCGTTTCTCGCTCTTGACATTCCGCGATTTACCGAGAATTCTATAATATGTATTAAAGCTACCCTATCGAATTTTCTATTTTAAGTTATCGGACATTTAGCCTATTGAGTCGAGTTTTTTGTTTCGAACTCTTAGAAGAGAAAGTTGCAGTTATAAAAGCGTTAAAAGATAGCGCTTGCAGTTTGAATACTGGTACTATATGCTTCGTGATCGAAAAAAAGAGGAAAAATTTGTGAAAAAATTTATAAGTGTATATTTTAATCAGGAATATAGCACGCGACGAGATGTCGAACGAACCCGCGGGCATCTTCTACTTCAGTGATATCGTCAGCCTGCAAAATCTTCTGACTACGATGGGCATAAATGAAGACCAGACGCGGCTGACCGCTTATAATTACAAAGACGTGGCTAGACGTCAATGGCGCACGTCACTGATATCGTCCTTCGCCGCGAATCTCATCGCAGTATTTTACAAGTAAATATATCTGTCCTTTATCCTTATCCTCTATTCTTATCTTTATTATCTTTTTACTTCGATCCTTTATACGGAAATTATTTATTATGATTTATCTCTCAATTCGATCGATTTTAATCTGGAATCGATTATATAATTAAGCTAGTAATTGTGTTTAATCGCTTTAAACTGGAGTATCTAGTATCTAATATTTTAACACTCTTATGATCACAAATTTTCTCAAGTTTTGAAATTTGTTTTTGTTTTGTTTTTAGATATAGATTTTAGATTCTCCTAGTCCCATTATTTTCACTGCGGTTTCACTTACAAATTATGTTTGTTTTCTTTTTTACTGATAATATCTAATGTTTTTAAATTGCATTTCTTCAAAAAATACTACTAATACGTAAGTCAAGGTATCTTATAGTTTTTCATACAACGTAAATAAAGCAAAATGAAATGAGTTGACGTAATTTAATTAGCACGTGAAATTCGCTTTAGTCACGTTAGTTTTAATACATCTAAACATTATAAACACATACAGATAAATCATGCTACGTTATCTTTGATAAAATAACCAAAGTCAATCAGTCACTGCTACACAACGGAAATCATGTTATGTAAATATGTATTAATATTAATAAATTATAACTTTTGTAAAAAATATTATTGCAGATGCAACGACAGTAATAACCGCAATAAAGTGATGTTTTATCTGGCGGAGAAACCAATACGGTACAATGGCTGTCAAGTGGGCCTTTGCGATTGGGAATTACTGAAGAGCAAGTTCGGCCAGCTGGCGTCCAACTGTAAGCTGGACGTCTGCTGGAAGGCGAGTGGAGCAACTTGCAGCTTTTCAAATTCTATAGCCATATTATTAGTGTGCTTTGTTCTAGTCCGCCTTGGCTACCGACACGTGTAAAAATAAGCTATTAGTTGTATTTCGTATTATATTCCGTATTATCGAACGTTAAATCGTAAAATATTAAATACAAATGAGACAGATCTTCGGGGATTTTAAAAGTTAATATTTATAGGAAACGCTCCTCTCAATAATCTAAAAAATCCTATAAAGCAAAAAACGCACGGAAAATTAAAGCGTTAAGTTGTAGATGATTATATCGCTTTTAGATCTATGTTACGTTTGCAACTCGAAAATGCATTATAAAATACGCGCGCGCGCGCACGCACATACACTACTATATGCGAGTAGTATAACGCAATTTAATTTGTCTTTACATATTTTATGTCTTATTATATATTCTATGAATTAATAGAAATATTGTTATAATATATTTCCTGTATAATTTATGATATAATATCCTAATATGTATTTTAAAATATATATTTATTATATTTATATTTTATTTATATATCCGCCTGTTACTAGAGTATTTTAATTAGTTATAACGCAATAATAACTAAAAATATAGTCACTCGCATATCAAGATATACATCTCATTTTCTTTTTAAATCTCTCTCTCTCTCTCTCTCTCCCTCTCTAGGTGTTCAATACTTTTGCACGGTGTTAAAACTTGCATTATTCACAGAGCGCGCCCGTTCTTGAAATTAAGCTATATGTTTAGAAACTTGAAAATGCTGTAACTTGTCTACATACAACCAAATATTATACTTTCATCGACATTCCCGATGATGTTAAAATTTTCATTATTTATATATTTATTCACAATAACTCAAAGTTATAATTCGAGACGCAACGAGACGAGTACTTAAAGAATAGCCATTCCTGTGTGTGATCCCAGCATCAATTACAATCTCGCAGTTCAAATCTAATAATATACATATACATGTGTATATGTATAATATGGAACAAGTATTATGATCCAATATAAGCAATAATCAGAGTGATTGTAGAAAATACACTTGCAACTGCTAGTCACTAATGTATATACTCACTAAGGTGTATCTCGCATATATCACTCATCGTACTACCCGCATAATTACGTCATGAAAAGTCCGTCATACGAGTAATACGATCGCACGGAGTTCGCCTGACGGATCTGTTACGCCTTTACGGATTGCGCCGCGTCCGCGTCGTCAATGTCGTCATCTCAGCGCGATATAACCATATAATATTATAATATATCTGGTGGCGAACCTATACTATGTAAACTATGTTTACGCGAGCGTTACTTTTGTAGTAACTTGGGATACGTCACTCGTTTACGCGGAGTGACGTATCGTAGGTTACTACAGAAGTAACGCTCGCGTAAACATATAATGTACATGTATATAGTAATCTAGCACCTAGGACCACGTATTGGTCTAATGGTCTTGCCGAAAACGATAACGCGTATGTGTACATACCTATGGCTGCTGATGGCAACGTATCTCGTCAAGAAAAGAAGAAGCGTAAAACATGCCAAAGGAGACTCCCTCCGGGCCCCCTCCCGCTCCTCCAAACCTGAACCAGCGAACTCGATAATCTCGATTCCGGTTTCCGGTCATACGGAACGATGCTGTTGGATGCGCGTGTATAACACATACACACATGTAACATGATGTTTCGTTGCGACGAACTTTGAGAGTTTTACGAGAATTACGAGACACGGAGACACTCGAGCGATAATTCGAGACACGCTTTCGCTTTCGAAAGACAGAATAATACAGTCGCGATGACCGACGTCACGAGAACACTGCATATGCAGAATGCAGACTGCACTGACTGCAGCCGATAGCTGATAGCTATGAGCGCGACGTGTTCGTGTTTGGAGTCTATCGATGATCGAGACACTGTGCCACCATGTGTCACACTGTGCACCTGCAGTGTGGGCAGTGTGCAGTGCACTGCAATCAGTGCGATCGAGGTGTCGAGGTATCGAGATATCAAGACTGTCGCGAGAAGCGATCGAGTTCAGTGTGCCAGTGCCTGCACCCTGCACCCATCAAGTACACATACATATATACATTACATAAATTATTTACTGCAATGCTTACAATTTACACGTAGGGTAACTCCGATTAATTTCTAGGTATATAATTTCTCGTCTCGAATTTAATCGCCTTTGTTCCATACGTTAACCAACAAAGACGTACGTCGTCCATTAACGAAATTTTAAATAAAAAAAAATAGAAAAGAAAACAGCTAGCTGTATTATTAATTGATAATAAATTAATCAATCGCAAGCTACGAATAATATATATGTAACTTGATCCACAATTAACTTGTCAAGCAATATTCGTTATTCGTACTGTCTTTCGTCGGGATGGACTTGGCATAGATGGAATTGTTCATTTTTACGCAACGTACGGAGAAAATTGATCAAGAGTGGATTAGAAGATCAGGATGATGAATTAAGATTGAAGAATCGTGCACTGTGCAATTGGAAATTTCCCGCCAGCGGCCAGGCTAGCTCCTAACCTGTACTTATTGGCGTGACGCGTGCGGCGTGCGGCGTGACGTCAATCGCGGCAACGCCAATTCCCAGGCGACCCAGGCGTAAAAATTGTGTCCGACTTTTGCAATATGTCCACGTAGACGTAGGAGACGATCTTCCTGGTTCCTGGATCTGCCTGGATCTTCCCGTCCACCCCGGAAGAAAGAACCGTTCGCTACAATGATTTGGTAGTTTCGAGTTTCGAGTTTCGAGGTGAACGTCTTCCCTGCGTGCTCATTATACGTGTAATCCCGTGACACTTGGACGTCTTGACACGTCGGCCTTCGGGCTGTCGAAATGCCGAGATTTCAAGTGTTTCAACCTCGGCCCCGACAGCCCCGATCACTTTAATTCTATGTCTCGCAACTCTCGCACGTCAGTCTATATATCTCCTGCAAGTGCATATCTGCACATGTGTTTAATGTGTCGCGTATCTTCGTCAATGCCGGAGCCTGTAAGTGGACGACTTTTCACGTTTCGACAATTTCCTACGCGACGCGTTCTTTTATTACTTTCTGTTATCTCTTCCTTATCTCGCGAATGTCGAATGTCGAGATTGTCGAGTACCTCTCGCGACTATATAGACGCAAAGAACGTGCCCGGAAAATTTCGAAAACGCTCTCAGCTCTACGTTCTATTTCTTTCATTGACACTTGATCACACACTTCACGTCTCGTGCTTCAGCAGACGACTATTTGACAACCTTTGACAACTCTGACCGGTGGACTCTGATGTCGGTGTAACCATGGCCAGTCCACGGACACGACGAGTGCTAAGTGAACTGAAGCCAAGGGACGAGAACACGGTAAGCTTATTAATGACACGTGTAGCGTATTTGTATTTTTCATTAATATATCATACAAAAATGAACGTATGGCCTACGCGTGGTGAGATTACATGTTTTGTGCCGTTTGTAGAAATGCTTCGAATGTGGCAGCCACAATCCGCAATGGGTATCCGTGACATATGGCATTTGGATATGTCTCGAGTGTTCTGGCAAACATCGTGGTCTAGGTGTACACTTGTCGTTCGTCCGCTCCGTTTCTATGGACAAGTGGAAGGACGTGGAACTGGCAAAAATGAAGGTTGGCGGTAATAGAAATGCCCGTGAGTTCTTTGAGAGTCAACCCGACTGGGACGACGCCATGTCCCTCTCACAGCGTTATAATACTAAGGCAGCGGCATTGTACAGAGACAAGGTGGAGAGAGCGTTATCGTCAACTTTTATCGCTAGGTCCGTTAAGAGCCCATTTAAATATCTACTTCTTTCCCTTAGATCGCTACATTGGCGAGAGGAGAGCCTTGGAGTCCAAACAGTTCAACGGTCAAGGACGTGACGTCATCGACGTTCATTAAAAGTAAGCAAGAGCACTCGTATCAGAGCGACTTGTCCTCTTCTTATCAAAATATGGACTCGAGTAGTCTCAAGGTACAAACGGAATCCTTCTTTGCGAAGAAACAGAATGAAAATGCCACGCGTCCAGAGTAAGTCTGTATTCTAGCTTCTGTTGTTCTATTATCGGGCATTTCTATATAGTTTCGAATCCGTAGCATTGTGCACGTTGTTACGCCGCTACGTGAATCTTGTGAACGTAGTATTAATACCATATATTGTTATTTTTTCGTATAAATAATATAAGTAATGTAATATAAATATATATGTAGACGTATATATCAGTATCGCGAGTATCGAGAATAGGCGTAACATTCGAGAATATTTTCACTTTCTTTACCATGAGGGAGATCTAGGACAGCCCGTATATTTATATTCTAATATGATAAATATAGTACACATAACACGGTTTTGGAATCATATCATTACGACGGTATAGCTGTA